TTGAATATTGGATCAGTATCAGCCGATATGCCTCCTTAAATATCGGCTATTGGTATCGGCCCCCAAAATCTCTATCAGTGCACCCCTAGTATGTATAGGTGTGTATACGTGTGTGTGTGTGTATAGGTATATGAATATGCAATTTTTTTTTGTGCCAGGTCAAATTAGCCAGATCAGTTCTGAATCCCTTGAATCGTTCAAAAACCTCATGTGGCCCTACTACCAGTAAGTATTCTTCATCCCAGACTTTTCATTCTGGGGCTTCAGATACTTCCAAATCCTTTGGTAGGCATCCTGCATGCAGGCCCAAACCCAGAGGCTTGGGGTTTGGATGCCTCCAGGTTTCACTTGCCCTCAGCTGTATGGCCACAGGAGCAAGCTAGCGGGGAGTCTCCCATTTTCATAAAGTCAGCATGTAGCTGAGATTCTTCCACTGGAAACTGGCCAATGGGAAGCTAACTATGATGCTCTTGTAGGGAGTCCTCTCCACATGCAGACAGGGGTACACCATCCACTACACAATGCCACTTTAATTACATTTTGGTTTGGGTATCAGACCAGTGCAGCGACTACATTTGATCTTAGCCCACAAGAGGCCAGGAAGCATGATATTAGTTCAAAGGCAAAGGCTCATGATATCCCACATAGTTAATTGGGCTGAGTCACACCAGGCAACAACATTTCAAGCCATGGTGACCCCACAACTCAGTACTACTCAGTATGTGTGTGTACTCGAGATACCCCCCTGCCCCCGAAGAGGATCCATGTCCTAATTAGCCCCCACTCATGACTAGAACCAGGTATTTTTGTCATGAGTCCTGGGATCCTCCAAAAATGTCTATTCAGATGAGGTGCAGGCCAACCTGGTGTAGCTTCACCTCATGAAGAGTGGGGCCATACTGATCATATGCACTAGGCTGAGAGAGAGGGCAACAGAGGGATTCTGGGTGAACTGTTTGTGGCCCTGTTTCATGATGTTTGCCAGGCATTTAAGGCTGGTAAAGAAACAAGAGTCACTGGAAATGGGAAAAAAAAGTGCAGCTCAGCAGTGGGAATGAAGAACTCAAAATGTATACCATGTTGTGGCTCACCATGACTTTTAAAAGGGTCAGGAGGACTGCTTTAATGGCCACTGTTGTATGTCTTATTCACATGGCCTAACACTAATTTAGCCTTCTGGTGTAGATCAAGATTACCTGTCAGGGGAAATACCAGGATCACCAATGTGACTTTCATACTGGCTGGGGAAAACCATGAATGTGGCAAGGGGTAGTATCCTGACTAAGGTAATGCATAGTTAGCCTCCCACGTTCATTTCCAGTGGGAAGGTCTCAGCTATACACCTACTTTATGGAAATGCAAGACTCCTTCCTAGCTTGCTCCTGTGGCCATATGGCTGAGGGCAAATGAAACTCAGGGGAATCTGAACTCCAATCCTCTGGGCTTGGGCCTGCATGTAGGTTGCCCACCAAAGGATTTGGAAGTATCTGAAGCCCCGGGTAGGGGTGGAGGATGTTTACCTGTAGCAGGGCACATATGGTTCTTGAATGACTCACACGGATTTGGAATTGATTTGACTGATTTGACATGGGACATGAACATTTTTCCTTAAAAAAAAAAAAAAAAGAAAAAGATCAAGGTCTGTTGCCCAGACCAAGATGGATTTGAATGGCATTGTGTAATTGAGGGTGCACGCCTGTCCAATGCACTGCAGACAGGACACTCTACAAGAATCTTGTAATTAGCTTCCTAATGGGCAGCTTCCAGTGGGAGGATTTCAGCTACATGTCTATTTTATGGAAATGAGGAACATCTCCCTAGCTTGCTCCTGGGGCCATTGGCTAAGGGCAAGTGAGACTCGAGGTCATCCGAACCCCAAGCCTCTGGGCTTGGGCCTGCATGTAGGATGCCTGCCAGTGGATTTGGTAGTATCTGAAGCACCAGGCTGAAAAGTCTCGGGTGGAGGATACTTGTTGGTTGTAGTGCCACATCTGGTGTTTGAGTGATTGAGTTTTGCTCAATTGAAAGGATGTGGACTTGATTTGGCTAATTTGACCTGGAATACAAAAACATCTCCTGGAATACAAAAACACCCCCCCCCCCCCCAAAAAAAAAAAAGAAAAGAAAAGAAAAGAAAAAAGAAAGTTCCCATCAGCATTTTTGGCACCAAGAGAGGGTGTTGGAGCTTGCTTTGACTGTTCCAAGTGCTTGCTTGGTATTGCTGCACCTCTAGAGCTGGTATTTATTCCCTCCTGGGGGGACAACTGCTTGGTTTTTTTAGGGCCCCATACAGGGAAAAAAAAAGGTTCCCATCAGTTTGTTTGCCCAGTGTGAGCCACGTGTTTTACAGTCATGCTCAGTGTTGGCTGCATTTAATCAACGTCATATTTGGTTTCTATTACTGAGTGCATGCTGCTTTTGGCAACAGTTTAATGAGAGACAATGTGTTCAGTGAGATCTCCTTGTATGTGATTATTAAGACAAGGGGCTTTTTTCCCCATGCCAACTGGGGGGTGAGGCTTCTCTTGCATTTGACTAAATACAGGCATTTTCTGCAATCCAACAGTGCTATACTTAAATTTGTTTTGGTCATTCCTTAATTCACTCAATAAACAGTTTTTTTCTTTATGTCTGTGACCACCCCCCTCTTCCCTTTAATCATAGTACCTGGTTATGGATTATTATGTTGGTGGAGATCTGCTCACCCTGCTCAGCAAGTTTGAGGACAGGTTACCTGAAGATATGGCTCGTTTTTATTTGGCTGAAATGGTGATAGCGATTGATTCCGTACATCAGTTACATTATGTTCACAGGTAAGGTGATCTAGCATGCAAATAGAGTTGACTTTAATACTGTAAATTATGGACCAACTCCCACAGCCCTAACTCAAGCAATATTCCTGTTGAATTGAAGCAGAATTTTACCTGAGGGTGAGATTTTAGATGAGTAATCTCCATTGACGAATGGAAAGACTAAGCAAAGATACTGGATGTAACCATAACTGGTATATTAGTGGCCATATTTCATCATCTTTTGACTGTTTAGCACTTTAGGGATAACATAAAACATGTAGAATCATGGCCACTGGCTTTTTCTACTTCTGCTTTTATGTTTTATTGATTAAATGTAAATGTATAATAAAATACAGCTAAGCTTCTGCAGTATGTTTTATTAGCATGGACTTTTCGCAGTCTTTCTGCAGGGTTCAAATTGCGTAAACGGGTTTTATGTTTGGAGAGTATTTCTTGATTAGTGTTTTCTGTATACAAAGAACTGAAAGCATTACACTGGATTTGGGCATTTTTATTTGTTTGTTTTTTGTTGAATCCTTCCTTAGTTCAGCTGGTTGAATATGCACAAAAAACTGAAAACTAAAACATTTTAGATGGTTTTCAAAAGAAAATGTTTTGAAAATTGAGTTTAATGTCAACTCTCAGGTGGTGTTTAAGTAGCTGATTATTCCACGCTGTAAAAAAGACCCTCTCTTGCAATCACTTTTAAAACAGCTCTTTCATTACCATCAGTATCAATACCATGGGCAGAATGATGAGAAAGTGTTACCTAAAGAAAGAAGGTGAAATCTCCAAAAGTGCTCAGTATTGGGCTAACTCTGCTGTTGCTGAAGGTAACAATAAAAGTTACAGACTTCGGCTAAAATAGCATACAGTTGTGTGTGCATTTAAAAAAAAAATTGCACTAAGGGCTGTTTCTAGTATAAGCTCCATTACTGACTGACCATTCAATCTGATCTGACTCCTCCTCCAGATGTAGCCAGAAGGTGTTAGGTAGTTTCCCATGAGTACGAGGCTGGCAAGGTCAGAGAGGGAGTGGGAGAAATTTGCTCCTAATAGTGTATGTGTGTCTGTCCTTTATATTTTTTTCTGTGACAATTCATTCTGCTGCATAGTTGCTGTTCAGTTTCACCCACATAGTTGCTATAAAGGCATTTAGTGCACTGGATCCAGGTATATCACATTTTTGGAAAAGTTTGTGTGGAACCATGGATTCTGCAGTTTTTGTGATGGGGTGTCGATTGTAGTGGCAGTGAAGATAGATATGGCGAGAGGTTAAGCATGTATTGCCAAGGCAAGGATGGGCCCTACTTGACGTCTGTTGGGCAGTGGGGAGTTTGCTTCTGATGATAAGTTGGACAAGGTTAGGGGGCTGTTTGAAGTCCAGGAGCAGAGGGGCTGGAAATATTTCTCTCAAGGTCTGACCTTTGTCAAGCATAGGCTGGTAGTTGTTTAATTCCTCTGATAGGTTCCAGTGTTGGTTGGTAGGTGACCACTAGGACTGTTCAGTCACAGAGTTGGGTTTCTTTTCGCATTGTAGCAGGTTACTGCAGGTATTTGGATAGCTCTTTGAAATCTCCAGTCCATTTCTCTATTGAAGTGTTCTTATTGAATAAAAGCAGAGTTTAGACTGGCATGGTAGGCATCTGAAAAATGCATGCTTTTTTTAATACTCCCAAAATAAAGTAGATGTGCATGAAAATTTTTGATACAAAATTAAATGTCATCTTGTTGCTTGTTTAGAGCAATAAAACTGATGGCTTTGAAGTAAGAATAAATGTCTGAGCATGTTAACCTGCTAGTGCATATTTCAAAAGGACTCATTCCTTTTTGTTGTACTATTTGAAGCTTTGCCCATGAGGCCAACTCTCAAATGTACATAAAACTTGTCTTTAAGGACAGTCCAAAACAGTATTTTTTTTTTTATCATTAATGCAGCTGTAATGCAAAGTGTTTGTCAGAAAAAAGGCGTTTTTGTGAAAATTAAAAATGCAGCATGGGCTTGAATAAATGTTAACTGATCGGCCTTTGAAATGTGACCCATTTCCCTGTTACTTTATTGAGATGTTTGCAGCTGTTAAAGCAGGAGAAGAAAACACGTGTAAGTGCCAGGAACACTTTTCCTGAGAGAATAACCCTGGTGGCCACCTCTTTTTGGGGGGCATGTTGTAGGACGTGGAGGACTGGAGAGACAGAAGAGAAGAAATATTAATAGGAAGTGATAATGTAACAGCTGTAGTGGCAGTGCTTCTGCTGGGACGGCAATATGCATAGGGATTTGAACTGAATGGTAACTAGTGAACTAGAAACATCAGATTTCCAGCATCTTTCTTTCAAGGTTATTTTGATATCATTAGTTAGAAGTATTGGTATTTTTTGTGTCCTAGTTCTTTTCAGATACATTTTCACATTAACCCCAGTCTTTGTCATAAGAACTCTTCCCTCCACACACCTATTTTTCTCCTACATCTTTTCTGCTGACAGTAGATACGTTTGTTTTCTAGCCATAGGGGAGCATAGGTTTGTTTGGGAATGGCATTGATCATCACAGCAGTTAATCTGCAAGATATAAACCTAGTGTTACATACAAGTCATTGTTCTCTTGCCAGACAGGACTGCCCAAAACTCAGACATCAAATATAAACCTCATCATTATTGGGCTTCTTAAACTAGAAACTGTTGCAGGAGTTCCTCATCTTTGTGCTGCAAGTCCTGAAGGTATTTCTGAACCAGTGTTGCTGGATGTTGGAGTGAATCCTTAGTTGGAAGTACACAAACTCTAGAAGGTAGACAGGAAATGGAGAAAACTGTAAAGTGTCCTTGACGTTTCAGATGGGGGCTTGAAAACACTTCTCTCCCCTCCCAGAAAAAATCATATGAGCTGAAAATAACATTACTTTTTATACTAACTTATCTTGTTACTTTGTTTGCTTTTAATTTCATATTACTCTTTGATTTCATATTTCTGTTATTTACATAACCATTTTGTGCTATCTGGCAGAAACATCTGAAGATATTTGCTATCAAAATTAATAGTGATATTTTGCTCTGATAAATGCATTTCTGGGAATAGGTTCTGCAATGTCAACTGTTTGTTTAGTCAGGTTCGTAAGTTCTCGCTGTCATTTAATTGCATTTTCTTTAATACATAAATGAGCCACTTTAGTCCGGGTGCAAGCCACTCATTCATTTTTCATTAAAAATGTCACTAAGAGCGCCTGTGACTGGCGCTCAAAAAAAAATGAGGTCATACAAATTGACCTAAATAGTATATGTTTGCACATAGACTTTCTTCCTGATTTGAGTAATCTTTACTCATGTAAGGCCCATCTTTATCTTTGATACCTGTTTAATTTATTGATTTTGATTAATTCAATTCCCTGATGTTCTTTTTGGTTGTAGGCCAAGTTTAAATACTGCCTTGTCTTGAAGGCTGCCTTGTGTAAGTGATAGCCTTGTAGAGTATATGGTTTTACACATGCGAAGCAATATCAACTGTATAATATAAGACATGAACGAAAAGGTTTACAGGTCCTTTTTTACTTTTGTGATGGAAAAACATCTGTATGCATTTTAATACTAATTTGGCTTTAAAAAGGTTATCTGCTTCTAGCATAGTTAGGGGTAAATCATTCCCTCTGGTACATATTGTGAGATTCTACTTCCACGCATCATGAAGTATTTAGAAGGTTAGTGTCAAACTCTTGCTGCCTCGAGTTAGGTAGTTAGACTTCATTGCTGCATGTATAGCAACATGAACATAATGTTATTATGAACACAGGGAATTAGTGCTGTTTCCAGAGCTTGAAATTTTTAATTAGTCTTTGAATTAAAATAATGTTGCACATATAGAGTAATCTAAAACTGGATTTATTGAGTCTTCCCCACACATGGGGTTCCTACTATGCCCACTCTAGGGCCTCTATCATGCCCCACCTTGAGGTGTTCTCATCATCCTCACAATCAACTACTCATGGGGCTGGCCCTTGCGCTGCCCTTCAGGCTTACTCCAAGTTTAGCCCTATTCAACCCACCCCTGGGACTGCCCTTGAGGCCTACCCCGTGTTCAGCTCCCCTCACACACAGCCCTTCAGGCCTACTGCCATTCAACCCTCCTCTGTACAGGGCCACACAACTATGCCCTCTTCCCTAGGGCTATACACCTGTCCCATCCCTGGGAACGTGCTGCCGCCCCCCTCTCTGGGACTACACTTCTATCCCCTCCTGCGGTCTCCGAGGTCTCAGTCCCATATGGGCTCAGGTGGCCTCAACCATGCCTGGCCCCACTTGCTAGATGCAACTCACCTGAAGATGAGGGCCAGGGGTTATTAAGGCACCCCAACCTGCCTTTCACAAGGGTGGTAAATGCCCTGGCATTTCCTGGGTGTTCCCATTCCACCAGGAGCCCTACCAGGCCACCTATCCCTGGCAGGGTGCAGTTTTAGGTCATGCCCAGGACCAAAAGCCTCCTAGCCATCCCCATAAGCTCCCATAAGCCCTTACCTCCTAGTGTTCCTTCTGCAGCTCAGCCAGGCAATGTTTCCACTTGGGCTGGCAGCAGCAAACTGCAGCCTTTATTTATCTAGTTCTCAAAATAGCTGCCGCTGTCAGGCACCTGCTGGCTGCCTGACTCGGCCCTTAAAGTGTCACGCACTCAAAGGTGTGCTGCCATATACATTCATTTAGTAGTATTTTGCTTTCTGTCCATTTTTTGGATTATATTTGATAAATTAATCATCTTCACACAGTTTGAGACCCCTCTTAAAAGAGAGAAAGGGTCCTATTCTAATTGAAACAATGGTAAATGTTATAGCCCTCATTCAGTTCTGTTGTCCTTGCATTATTTGCTTATTTATAAATATTTTTGGGTGGTCCTTGGAAAGCTTTTACTGTAGAGAGATAGAAGCCCAGAAAGCCACTTCATAAATTGCAGATGCTGAAGCAGATTGATAAAGCTAATGGATGCTGGTATAGTAATAATAACAATCATTTTATTTCCAGAGATTTCCTTATATCTGTAC